ATCTCTATAATCTGTAAATTAATATACAAAAGTTCTACTTTAACATCTCATCATGGGTGGGGTAAGCCTGGGTTCTCATGTTCCAGCAGGCCCTACCAAGGCTGGAAAGGTGCCGTCTCATGTTAGTCATATGAGGACCAACCTTATTAAATCTGAGTTGTGCATCACCAGTGTGGTCCTTTACCAAGGCCATCTGCTACACTACAAAGGGGTTGCGACCTATGTTGGTGGGAGGGAGTACCCTCACCAAACTCATGAATCCCTGAAGTATGAAAGCATTAATTAAGGATTAGTTTTTCTTTCTATGTAATTCTGTGGGAGGAATCATCTCTGGAAATCTAGGCCCAATTTTTTTTAATCACTACTCTTATTTATGTATTAAACTAACTTTAGATGGCTGGAAGGTCTGTGGTCAAATTACAGTGCGCTCTCCCTCCCACTCTTGTCTTTTCTCTCCTCCTTTTTCTTACCCTACCTCCCTAAGAGAGAAAAAGCATATGACATCTACAACAGTGATTCTTTCCCTTTTTTGTGTTGTGGCCCCTTTGGCAGTTTGGTAAAACCTATGGACCCCTTTTCAGAATCTTTTTTTTTTTTTGGCTAGGCAATGGGGTTAGATGACTTGCCCAGGGTCACACAGCTAGTAAGTGTTATGTGTCTGAGGCTGGATTTGAACTCAGGTCCTCCTGAATCCAGGGCCGGTGCTCCATCCACTGTGCCACCTAGCTGCCCTCAGAATCATGTTTTTTAAAAATTGAAGGAAACACTAAATTTCATTTAGAGGTTAGTGGAAATAAATTTTTTTTTCTCCATTCAAGTTCATGGACCTCCTGAAATCTATCTCAGATTAGGATGCTAGGATAAGAACACTTGATCTAGAGGAAAGGGAGCAAATAACATTCTGGAGAAAAGAGTAAATAACATGGGACATAATTTCCACAGTACGTTTTAATCTCACTACAGTATCTGAATATCTTTTCTCTTTCTTTTTTTTTGGTGGTAATTGGTGCTTTTCATTTTTTAATTTAATTTTTAGCTCATACACATAATTAGATTGTACTCCAGGAGTTAATATCAATAATTATCTTTGAAAAAAAGTGATACAACTTTATCATAAAGAAACATACATAGTGATCTATATGTATATGTATATAATAATAAATTACAAAGATTATGACAGCTAGAATAATATAGTGGAAAATGAACTGGACATGGTATCAGGAGACTGATTTTGAGTCCTAATTTTGACACTGATTGTGTGACCTTGGGCAAATCATTTATCCTTTCTGGGTCCATTTTCTCATCTGTAAAATGGAATACTTGCATATTAGAAGGTTTTTGTTAGGGAAGTGACAGTAATATGGAAGCACTACAGAAATGTCAGCTAAGATCTGACAAGATTTTTTTAAAGACCAATTAGCATTTTGATTTTATGTAGTCCATTAATAAGCTATTTTGACTATGCTCCATAACAATAGTATACACATTTTATTTTGGTCCAGATCTATGATTTCATTAGTACAGAAAAGTCCAACTAAAGGAACTCCCCCAAAAAAACATGAGCTCCTTCAGGCAAAGACTGTTTTGCCTTTCTTCATTAGGCTCACCAGAACCTAGCATGGTGCCTGGCACATAATAAACAGTGGAAAAAATGGCTATTGATTGATGGGTTGATGCCTATGGGCACTGTGTTAGGACCAGGGTGTCTTCATTTCCCTGCTATAGGGATTAGGTTTCTCTAAAAGATACCAGAGCTTTTCCTGGAAAATAACTGGTCCCTCACTCCTTGAAATTTCTTGGTCATTTATAGGCATAAAAAGTCACAACCATGTGAATTCAGTGCTCCTCTGACTTGGTGACTATATGAAAACCACATGAATACATACCTTGATGACCAGATGCATTTCCATATGGAGATACCCAATTTCAAAGAAGCTAAGGTGTCATTATAGCCTTATTTTATATCATTGCAGTTTAAGGGCAATGCTAACCTCCTGAATGCCTCACTTTGTCCCAGTATCAAACTAACAGGGTGCTGGCATTATGCCTGTCCCTAACTGGTACCAATTTTGCAATTTAATCTTAAAGAGTTGCCCAGCACACTAAGAAGTTAAGTGACTTGCTCAGGGGCAAATAACTGGTATATCAGAGATAGGACAGGAAGGCAGGGCTTCTTGACTTCTATTCCCTATGCCCCACTCCCTTTAAATTTATTGTCCCACTATAATATTAATCCATTTTTTTAAAGCACCTTAATGGAAAAGGCAAGAGCATATACAACATACAAAAACTAATGTGTGATGCAATGGATAAACACTTTAGCTAAACTGGAGTGACATGATATACATCTTTTGCATTATCTTCCAGCTTTAAATACAGTATACAATTAATGCTACAAATTTTATAAGTTGCTGTTACTGGATACAGAAAGCAAAGCATGAGGGCAATGCAAATCCTCAAGGTAGAATTGCAGATATAAAAAGAACGAAGAAACATGTCTCCAAATGTAGGGGAACAAGATACTGTTTCCTGAACTTAACCTAGCATGCTTCCACAGGACCACCCACATGAAAATTAATAAAACATTATGCGTCAGACGGTTTTCTTGAATTTCTTTCTTCAGTTCCTGGTTAAATCTTATTGAACCTGGGCTAAAAGGCTCGATTTCAACAATTTGTAGTCCAAAGTCCTATTTTCACAGAGTGCTAGACTTTGGTCACCAGATCCTACATGAGAAGAACCTGATGAAAAGTGGCTAGACCTTTGTCTCTTTCCTCCCACAAGGTGTCATAGCCTGCCCTACAGAGGGCTGCTTTTGCTGACTAGGGAAAGGATCCCTTATCCTTAAAAAAACCAAAAACCAAACACAAAACCCACACACAAAAAACCAACCCAACAACAATAATAGTCAACAATAACTGTAGCTAGATGAGATCTCATAAGCTGTAATGCCTTAAGTTCTTCGTGGCACTCTGACGAAATGGATGACACATTAGATGAATGAATCAAAGAATTTTAGAGTTGGAAGAGACACTACTGGCCATGTAGTATAACAAAAGGAATTTCCAAAATAAACATACTGGAAAAATGGTTCTGCTCTGCCATAACCAAAAATGGTTCAGGCTCTGCCTGAAGACCTCCAAACAGTGGGAAATCATCATCTACCAGGCAGTTCATTTCAATCTTGGATTGTTCTAGTTGTTAGGAAGTTTTTCCTCATATCAAGCCTAAATTTTCCTCTTTATAGCTTCCACCCATAATTCTGCTCACTGAGGCCAATCAATCAATCAATCAACATTTATTAAGAGCCTACTACATGCTAAGCACTGGAGCAGAACAAATCTACTTCATCTTGACATCCCTTCAAACACTTAGAAGACAGCTGATAATTGTTTTTTGTGCTTTTTTTTAATTGAGGGGATGTGATAAAAACTTTTCAAAGTGCCAGGGTACAACTTTCTTGAGAAAGAATTCCTTAAGCTTCATGTACTGTTTCCCCCTGCCCAAGCCTGTTGGAAGATCATCCTGGCAAGTCACTGATTATTCAGCCTGGACTCTGCCACTGACAGTTCTTACTTCTCTTTGGGACCAGACCCTGGAGAATTTTCCTTTTCTAGAGACCCAGGAATTAACAGAGCAATAATAGCGACCAGAGAAGTAATAGGTGAAGAAGGTGGAGTTGGAGGAGGGCTAGGAAGGAAAAGTTCAAGCATAAAGCAGACGAGGGAAAGGAAGTCAACGGAGGTGCTAGTTGATTGATTAGTTGACTGAAGGGGAGAGAGGAAGGAAAGAAAAGGAGAAAGGGAGAGGAGGGGGGAAGTAGAGTAAGAGAGAGAGGGAAAGAAGGCAGAAAGAGTGAAGAAGATAGGATAAAACAGGTGAGTAGGGAAGCAGGAAGGAAAAAGAGGCCAGAGGTAAGAAGAGTAGGAGAGTAAGGAGAGGTAGGGAAAAGGGGGAAGAGGAAGATTAAGGAAGTGGAAGAGTAAGGGAAAGCAAAGGACAGAGCAGGGAGTAAAAGAGTGAGGAAGGTAAGGGAATAAGTAGAGAAAGAACCGGAAGGAGAGAGAGGAAAAGGAGATAGGAGGAGACAAAGAGAGAAGGAGCAGGAGGGAGAAAGGAAAAGCAGGAAGAAAAGGGAGAGAGGAAGAAGGGGGGACATAAAGAGAGGGAGTAAGAGGGTAATGAAGAGAGAGGAAAAGAAAGAGGAGGAAGAAGAGAAGGAGGAAAAGTCCCACCTAAAATCCCACCTTTTAGAGGAAGCCTTGTCTAATCCCTCTTAATGCCAAGGCTTACCCTCTTTTTAATTATTTCCTATTTATCCTACTTATAGTTTGCTCTGAATATATTGTATGTTGCCTTCCCCATTCAATTGTAAGCTCCTTGAGAGCAGGGACTATTTTTTGCCTTTTTGTATCCGCAGAGCTTAGCAAAGTGCCTGGCACACAGTAGGCACTTAATGTTTATTGACTGGTTGATTGAAAAAAGGAGAATGAGTAGAGAAGAGACCAAGAATGAGGGAGAAGAAAGGGGGGGTAGGGGTAGGAAAGAATAGAGGGAAAAGGGAAGAGAATGGGAGAGAGGAGGGGAAGAATATAGGGAGGAGGAAAAGGGAAGGGGAAAATGTGAAAGAAAGAGAGGAAGACAAGGAGGTAGGGAGGAATAAATGGAAGGAGGGGGCAGAGGGAAGAAAGGAAGAGCAGGGAGAAGTTGAAAGGGAGGCAGAAGAGATTGAAAAGAGAGGCAGAAGAAGGGAAGAAGTTGAGGAACGAAGGAGGGAGAAAAGAGGAAGGCAGAAGGGAAGAATCGGGGACAGAAGGAGGGAGAGAACAATGAGGCTGAATACATTGCGGAGGGCGAAGCCGGGCAGGGTGCAGCCCCGGGAGGGCCGGGCGCGGGCGGGGCTGGTTCGGGGGCGTGGCCTGGGCCAGGCTCTGGGGCTAGTCCTCCAAGCCCGCAGCTCCAGCAGGGGTCGCTGCTCCGCCGTCCCCGCTCGGCGGCAGCCCCAGGCCGCTCTCTCTCAGCTCTCCACTGTCCTCGTTGCTCTGCGCCGGCGCTGGGGTGGAAGGGGAAGGGGCTGTCAGGCCGGGCCGGGGCAGCAGTCGAGGGGTCCCCGCCCCTTCACGCACTGAGGTAACCCGCCCCCACCGGACGCCCCTCTAAGCCGGGTGGGCGCAGCCGGAGCCCGCGTGACCCACCCACGTCCCCAGATCCGCGGACAAGCCCCGAATGTGTGTGGGGGCTTGCCCACGTGGGTGTGGGGGGCTACAGGGGGAGCGTTAAGGGGGGAGGTAGCCCCAGGGGAGGGGGTGGGGAAGCTCTGTACTGCGGAAACCTGAGCGTCAGGTTTCCCTGTGCTCTTGACCTTGGGGAAAAGGCGCAGGGCTCTGTGGCCTTCCTGTGGGGGAGCCGAGGGGGGAGGGGGCCAAGGAGGAGTCCCGGGCCCTTGGGGGAGGGGTAGGAGGGTAGCGGGGGGCAAGGTGAGCCCGGGGCGCAGCGCAGGGCCTTGGGCGCTAGGCCAGGAATCTGGGGGACGCCGGGCTCTGCTGAGGCCTCTACACGCTTTTAACAGCCTTGTGGCTTCGGGCTAGTCACTTTCTCCAGCCTCAGTTTCCTACTCTGTAAAAGGGGAGAATAGTAGTAGCACCTATCTCCCGGGGTGGTTGTGTGTGTGGCTCAAATGTTCTTTGCAAAACTTAAAGCACCATGAAAAAAATGCTAACTTACCGCACTGGGGACTTGCAGAAAGGAAGATCTGAGTTCAAATGCAAGCCTCAGATTCTTAAATACTTCATGACCCTCTGGGCAAGTCACTTAACCTGTCTCCTCAGTTTGCCCACCTGCAAAATGGGGATAAATGATAGCACCTGCCTTCCAGGGTTTTTGTGAGGATTGTATGAGAGTCTATGTAAATCACTTTGTAAACCTTAACTGTGCTGCATAAATGTTGGAATTCTTTTCTTTTCTGAGGAGCCCATTGCCCTTTATAACTCCTAGAATTTCTCTGCAGGAGTGGGGGTGTGCAGCTGACTGAGTAGAAGATTCCCTTGTCTTTGAATAGGAGTTGTTAATTTGGAATCTATGGTGTCCTGTAGATACATTTCATGGAGTCTGAAAAAAAATTATATCTTTATTTTCACTAACCTCTGACTGAAATTTAGCGTTTCTTTCCATTATGAATGTAGGCAATAAGCCAGAGTATTAGTATTAGCGGTACCGTGACATTGTCACCAATAGAAATCAGATATTTTTATAACACATTATAATTGGAGCTATCTCAAAATATTTACACTCCTCACTACTATCCTATATGACTGCAGCTTTCATGTCTAAAGACTGTATTTCAATACAATTTGTTTTCTTTGTAATCTAATGTATCATATATATTAAAAACATTTTGCCGAGAAGGGGTCCATAGGCTTCACCAGACTGCCTAAAGGATCCATGACACAAAATGAGTTTAAGTATTCCTGATAGTGGAAGTCTCAATAGGGATTGATTGAGGTGTGTGTTGCTAGCCTCCTTCCTCTCTTCCTTAATTTCCCTCCTCCTCCCCCAGTGTGAGTACAGAACTTTGTTGGGTTTAGTCTTGACCTTTAAGGAGTGTAGAACACATGAAACAGAGGAGATAATAATATACAATAGATGAGTGGTTTGTGGTATGGTACCAATTATGAGAGCTCTAAGACAGATTGCCCTGAGAGTCCCCAGTGGTGGGACTCTCGCCTTCAAAAGAGCATTGTCTCTTGAGTCAAAGGACCTAGAATCAAATCCCATCTATGACATTTGCTACCTGTGTAACCTCAGGCAAATCATTTATTTTACTTGGGTCTGTTTTTTCATTGTGTAAAATTAGGGGGTTGAACCAGATGGCTTCTGAGGTCTCTTTCTAGCACTAGTTTTGCTGTTTGTCCTTCATTTTCAAAGAGGGCCATGACATCAGGGAGGTGATGCCATGACATGCAAGTGAATTGGATTTAAGTGAGGGAGAGCTGGGCAAAGTCACCAGTCTCACTTTCTCTGCTGGAGCCATCTGGGTCCAGTGGTGAGATATAGATCAGGATGACTGGAGATAGCTCTGGATGCAGTGGGAGACTTTGGGCCTTTTTAACCGGTCTCAGTTTGATTGAGGCAGTGCCCATTCAGTGGTTAAGGCTAGGTAAGAAATGAGGCACAGAATGGCCTCTTTACCTAATTAAAAAAAATATATCTATCTATCTATCTATCTATCTATCTATCTATCTATCTATCTATCTATATCTATCTATCTGTCTGTCTATCTCGAACTGGGAGGGGAAGACCCTCAGGGTTTCTGGCCTCTAGTTTTATGATCCATAATGTCTTTAGGCTGGAATAATTTGGGAAGGACTGGGTAGGAATTGTGCATGCAAAAAGGAAAGATTTGAGTGGGATTAAGTAAATGCTATAAAAGTCAAAGCTCCTCTTGAAGGAGGTGTGACAGTTTCTTCTTTCCAGCCATCTTGGTGCCCTGAGGACCTTATCCTTATCCACTTATTCTTGTCTAGAATTATCTACTCTAGGTGGAGGTCCTAAGGGACTACTAAGTGGCTTACTCAAAATCCTATCCAGTGGAATTGTAGAGATTCAATTTGATTTCAGGTCTTTTGACTCCAGATCTTCAAGCCACGGAGAGCTGGCATGAGTTGGCAGAGAACATAGGATCACAGGAGTTAGAGCTAGGAGGGGCTCTAGACATACTCTAGACCAACCCACTGGGTTTTTTTTTTAGATGAAATTGAGCAAGAGAAGGCAAGTGATTTCCATAAGATTACACATTTCCATCCCTAGCATTTTACATGGAGTAGTCACTTCATAAATGTTGGCTGAATTGAATTGACTTCCAAATCTAATAGGTATAGCCCTGACCTCTAACCCGAGCACCAATGTTGTATCTGATTGTCCGTAGGACAGCCTTGTCGTTTAGTGGGAAAAGCTCTGGTTTGGCCTCAGGGTCCTGGGTTTTAATCATGACTCTGCCACTTTCTACCTGAGTGACCTTGGATAAGTCATTTGACATTTCTGGGTCTCTCAGTTTACCCATCTGTAAAACGAAAGGTTTGGAGTAGTTGATCTCTAAGGTCTCTTAGCTTTAAATCTCTAGTCCTACGTCCCTACGTTCAGGGGTTACAGTCCTTTTACATGAATACCAGAAAGCAAAAAATAATTTGCTGAAGTGTGTTAACAAAAGTGATAAAAACTCAGTGCCTTAATCCCTCCCCACTGGGTAGGCACCCCACTAATGCATCTAATTGATGCAACATGTTATTTTGAGCTGATGCTACCATGTTTAGGGCCTTAGCTATACAAAGTAGCTGTTGTGACCATGGGCAAGTCACTTAACTTCTATCTGCCTCATTTTCCTCATCTGTAAAATGGGGATAATAATAGTGTGTACCACCAAAAGCTGTTGTGAAGATTAAATGAGAAAATATTTTTGAAGTGCTATATAAATACTAGCTATTAAATTTATTATTATTGATGGGAGTAGAAGGGCTTGAACTTGAAACTTATTACAGTGGAAGACCATCATAGGGAAGAGACCTCTAAGCCCATCTAATCCAACCCCTTCATTTTACAGATGAGGAAACTGAGGCCCAGGGAGGTTAAGCATCAGAGATAGTGTTTGACTCCAGAGACACTGCCCTTTCCCCTCATCCAAGGTACGCAATATTTCCTGTCTCCTGAGTTGCAGATAGTTCTTCCCTTAGCTTATGAAGTATTTCAGGGTGTTATGGAAAGTATATTCTTTCACAGAAAAGGAAGAGGTTAAGTAACAAGTCTTGGTTACTTGGTGATTTGGGGAGGGAGAGGAAGTAGATTTTGGAAGTGCTAAAAAGCATTGTGTAATGTATGAAGAGCTAGTCTCTCAGTTTGTAGCCCTTGGTTTCAAGTCTTACCGATGACATATCAGCTATGTGACTGGGTAAGTCACCTAACCTCTGAGTGCCCCAGAGTGCCTCAGTTATCCAGCCTGCCCAAGTCACCTAATGTCTGAGTTTCCCAGGCAACTCTTTAAAACTACAAGTTGCAGAGAAGGGGTTCCTATACTGATGAAATCACAAGTCCCAGTTCAGAATTTATCCAAAGTGATAAATAGAATAGATCCTACCCTTTCTGGGTTGTTAGTGTTTTGATGCCTTGCAAACCTTAAGTGTTATATAAATTTAAATTAATCCTATTATTGTTACATGTAGATTCACTAGAAACAGCTAGATTACATAGTACTGATGGATTAGGAAGACCTGAGTTCAAATCCTGCCTCAGATACTTAGTCACTGTTTTCTTTCAATTTTAGTTTCCCCACTTTTAAAATAGGGATAATGACCCAGCAATAGCACTCCTAGGGCTGTATCCCAAAGAGATCATACAAATGGGAAAAGGACCCACATGTACAAAAATATTTATAGCAGCTCTTTCTGTGGTGGCAAAGAATTGGAAATTGAGAGGATGCCCATCAATTGGGGAATGGCTGAACAAGTTGTGGTATATGAATGTAATGGAATACTATTGTGCTATAAGAAATGATGAGCAGGAAGACCAGAAAAACCTGGGAAGACTTGTGTGGTCTGATGCTGAGTGAAGTGAGCAAAACCAGGAGAATGTTGTACACAGTAACAGCCATGTTGTGCGACGACTAAAATTGATAGACTTAACCCTTCTCAGCAATACAAGGATCTAAGGTATCTCCAAAGGCCTCATGATGGAAAATGCTGTCCACATCCAAAGAAAGGATGTGGAGTTGGAATGCAGATTGACGAAGCATACTACTTGCTATATTTTTTTTTCTTCTGTTGTGTTTTGTTTCCTTTTTCTGGTGGTTCCTTCTATTGGTTCTAATTCTTACTTATAACATCACTAAAGTGAAAATATGTTTAATAGGAATGTATATATATACCTTATATCAGATTGCATGTTGTCTTGGAGAGGGAGGGGGAGAAAAATTTAAAACTCAAAAGCTTATGGAAGTGATTGTTGATAAATCAAAATAAATTAATTACATTTTAAAAAGAGATAATGACAGCATTTACCTCATGGAGTTGTGAGGATCAAAGGAAATAACATGTAAAGGACTTTGTAAACCTTAAAGCCCTATATAAAGCCAGCCATTCTTCACTGTTACTGATCTAGATCTTCTCTGTCTCCATGGCCTTCTCTGGTAAACTACTCTGGACCAAATGTCCCTTCTGTTAATAGTTATGACCCGTCTTCTGCCAAATGGGACAGGATGGGATGAAAAGTAATTTCTGGCAGTATTTCTTCATCAGTATGAGTAAGTGACTGAGAGTCTGTGGCCTGTAGTTGGGTTAGCCATATGACAGTGTGTGGCTTTCACTGCCTGATAAATTGTTTACATCACAGGAAGTACTTTCTTGGGAGAATTTTAAATTAGAGCTATTCTGTAAAAGCAGCCCCTGATTTGAGCCTGCTCTATTTCTTACGTGAGATGCAGAAGTAGACTAGGGGACCCTGAAAGCACTAGGACAGGAGGTCGTGTGTTTAGCGTTCTTCTGTCTCATCAAACCAGCAAAAAACAAGGCCCCAAACGGCAGCAGATGGAGGCTGGCAGCATGTCACAGTAGCTTCTAACTGCATGCTTTTGTGTGAGACTTGTGGATGGCTATTGTTGAACACTTTGTGTTATATGGCGAGATGAAAGGGGAAAAAAGATAATGAACTGTGAGTGTCATTATTAAAGGATATCAATTGTAAAGTATAACCTTAGCAAAAGAGTACTTTTTCAGACTCAAGTACCAACTGTTGGCCATTTAGAAAGCGTTTGTGTTTTATGGTTGTAGAATCAGTTTCTAAAACCAGTTTTGCACACATTGGGAAGCTTATTTATATATTCTATAAGAAGGTGGTTTCTAGGTAAATTGATTGTTCTTTGGCTCACTTTGGTGGTATATGAAAATTTTTATATCATTGATATTACCCTCCCTCAGCCCCTTGTCTTTTTGTTTCCTGGCTTGCCTATTTTTCTGCTATGGGTTGGAGAAGGGACCTTGCCTCTGGTGACCTAGTCAGAGCCAAAAGTCCCTTCTGTTCATCTTTATCATCCATTCTCTATCAGATAGAACAAGATAAGGAAAATGCTAAGGGAAGAGGAGGAAGTGAAATTCAAATCTCTCGATTTAGCTAGTTAGCAGTTTGGGTTGAGGTCAGGAAGGAGGTTGAAATGAGGGAAGGTTGAGAATTTTCTTTGGATTTCACAAATCCTTGTTATCACATCTCATTAGCATAATCAGGAACACTATTTACAGAAGAATTTTCCTTAAAATTTTCTCTACATAATTTTCCAACTTTAAAAAAAAATTATTAGGAAATTACCAATAATTGTACCCATTGGCATGCTTGGCCACTATTCCCAAAGCTAATTCTTTTCCTTAAGTAGAACCAAGGCTGTGTATGAATAAATGGCTTAATTACTTTGAATGTGTGGAGCATAGTCACTTACTTGAATCATATCCTCTAGCTGTAGGAAAGAATTAAATTCGACCTAAGAAAAGGAGATGGCAGGTCTATATTATGAATTTTTTATGTTATGCAATTTCAGTAATACCACATTTGGAAAATACATCTGATTTAATGTCTTCTGTTTCAGGTGATGTGTGCTATGACTAGTCTCAGATTGCCCATCCGTGCTTTAAGAAAACCGAATGTCTGGATAGGACCCTGGGGGACATCTCTTGCACATAAACCCTGTACCTCTTGGAGTCAGTACATAAATTCTGCTAGTTATCAGTTAAACACATCAAACTATAGAACATTATTCTTCTGTGGCATTTCCTCTGTGAAACTCCCAGGGCTTTTAATATCCCCAGAATGCATTTCACTCTTTTCTATAAGACTCAAAAGCAACACAGGGTCTAAAAAGACCAGTAAAAAAGCTTTGCAGAAAGTAGAAGATGATGACGATGATTCTGATGAAGATCGGGGAGAGATGAGTGAGCAGGAAGATGAATTTGAAGATGACCCCAATGTAGTAAAAGACTATAAGGATCTGGAGAAAGTCGTCCCTTCTTTTCGGTATGATGTCATCTTGAAAACAGGGCTGGATCTTGCAAGAAAGTAAGTTTGGAAGGTGTATGATGGTACTAACCATTAGCTATTTTGTTTTTTATATCAGTTGATGTAGTCTAGCTTTACAAATACTCATGTGCCCACCCTGGATGACTAATAGCATAGAATAATAGAATCACAGAATTTCAGAGCTAGAAAGTTCCCAAGAGGTCATCTTATCCAGTATCCTCATTTTACAAGTAGAGAAATCAAGGTTTATAAACGTTAGTGACTTGACACCCCGCAGCGAGTTTTGGGGAGAGTTGAGAACAGAACTTAGGTCTTCTGCCTCTTAGACCAAAGTTCTTTCCACTTTGCCATATTATTTATACTAAAAATGGGGGGGCGTTAATTTAAAAGTGGCCTTTGGCTACTTTTGGATCCATGGGGAAGGATGAGGCGTAGGATGGTTGGTCACACAAGTTGATTTTTTAAACAGTTTTTTAGGGAGTCATTAATGTTTTTCTGTACCTCTTGCTCAGCTAGCTATAAAAAGAGTGAAGATTCTCTGGAAGCTGATAACTTTAAAGCATTTTACTCTCCACAGTTGAGTTTATTAAGCATTACTTTTCTCTGTCACTTTATTCCCTTGTTTATTCAAGCGTTCAGTTTGCCAGACATCCTGTGTGTATATAGAGGACTGTTTAGTTTTTCAGTGCCTTGATGCATCTTCGACACCTGTATGGACACAGCATGTATTGGAGCTTCAGGCAGTCAGTGGCAGTGACTGCCATCAGCACATAGTGGCCTGATTCTCCTCTGGCCAGTCAGAATGATCCCTATATTCTCCATTCTAAAGTCTGATGGTCCTACTAAGGTGGCTTTTCTCTCTACCACAGGCATATCTGCTACTTAGTTTATATAAGCCAAATCACAGAGAACAGGAAAAACAACAACAACAAAAGAAAAAAGAAACAACCCCTTGCTTGTTATTTGATGGTCTTAAAAAAATAAAAAGCCAAGTGAAAATGAGATAGTTTTTTGTGTCTTTTCTCTTAATCCAGTTGCGACATAAATTTCAGTAGGATGAGATAAACATGGGAGATGCCCATTTAGCAGCTGTTTAATTGCAGTACAGCTGTGGGGTTTGTAGATGGCACTCACTGTACGTACTGCTTCCGATTTCCTAGAGCAAAAAAAAAATGATGATAAAGAATACAGTAACTCTTTTTAGGAGGATCTCACCAATTTGGCAGCTCTTAGTTGATAAGGTTGATAAATTGGCAGACAAGTTCCCAGGTGGCAGGATACCAGAGAGGCCCTGCCCTAGACAGTAACCTCAACGTGTGCCCATGTTGGGCTCATTAGAGTACTAGTTGGCAACACAAGGGCAGCAGTGTGACATCTGTGCATCAGTTCACTGATTCGGAAATGGCCTTTGGTGTCATTGTTTTAGACACACGTGGAATTAACCCTTGATGCCGCATTGCTTTCAATGTGAACAATCAATTTAGTCCCCTAGTTATTCATTCACTATTGCTGGTAGACTTTCTCCAGCAAGTCTGTTGACTGTTGTAAATACAATACTACTCTACAGCATCACTCTCTCTTTTTTTCCCCTAAAGTAAAATAGAAGATGCATTCTATAAAGGTGAACTCAGATTGAATGGAGAAAAATTGTGGAAGAAAAGCAGAACGGTGAGTTGTTGAAACTTAAGTTGACATTGAAATACATTTGTCAGAGATACTGCCAGTCCTGAGCTGATGCCGCTCCTTCCCTCATCCCAAATCCATTCATTCCCCTGGTAGGAACATGAGTACTCAAAGCATAGCCAGGGCCAGTGGCCCTTAAGAGATTTTGGTGGGAATGAGAGACAAAGATCATATTAAAGAATTTTATTCTTCAGCAGTTTCAGTGGTCATTTTAATGATTCATCTCTTTTTTTCTATAGTATTGGAAGTCAAAGTCAGAAACTAGGAAGATCCATTGACTAAACCCTTGAGTTTTCTTTGCTTCTTCCACAGTAACACACCCTAAATAGCAGTGGAGATGGTTTTCATTCGAGGGTTTCTTTGGCTTCACATCAAAGAGCCAGTGTTCTCTTCAGTAGTCAGTTAAACAAATGTCTCTTCCTAGCCCAGTGCTAGGTCCTGTAGGAAATACAGAATAAGCACGTGACAAGGCCTTTGCTGTCAGTGAACTTACAATCATTAGAACAGCACAAGGCAGCACCACAATTGGGTTTGGCCAGAAATGGTGCTGATAAACAGTGCCTATAGGAGTTTTGAGAATTTAGCGAAAAAGGATCCCTGTGGGCTGAAGTCCTTAAGGGTTCAGGAGGAAGTGAGACTTGAGATGGACCTTGGAGGAGCAGGAGGTATGGTTTAGATGGAGGATTCTGAGCCTGGCATTTGGAAATTTGTTGTTTTCTTAAATTTAGGTAACTGTTCTAATTATTTTCCTTTGTAATTCTATGTATTGTATTTTATTTCATTTAGTAAAAACCTTTATTGTAAGAAGAGTTCTGTCAACTTCACCAGATTGACTGCTAAAGAGGTTCATGACATGGAAATGGTTAAAGACCCCAGGTTCAGACAGAGAGAGGGAAGAAAATAGAAAAGAGTGTGGGGTAGGTGAAGGACAGTAAGGAGACATTGGACTTTGTTAGTATTATTGAAGTAAAAACTTTAAAAAAATTAAACATGTTTAGTGGATATTTTAGAATCATGTATTTTTTTCCTATGGTGTGAAACATGTATAACTAATGCTTTCAGTGCCCTAAAGGAACTACTTTGCATAAGATGTAAACATGTGAATTTCAGAGGGCACCTGTTACTGTAGAAGCTTCCTTTGAAAGCCAGAATAATTTTTGCAGGTAAGAATTTAGTAGGGATCCCAGTAATTCTGGGAAAAACAGCTAAGGAGTACTTTTTATTTTTCATTGTAAACTCCCTTTTCATTTCAGAATGATTCTTGGCACATTGGTTTCTAAGAGCAGTGTCTTGATAATTCTAGGGCACTCCACGGGATGTTCCTTGTTTGGGGGAATGTTATTGTAGAAGCTCTCCCAACTAAACATATAAGACATGAGGAAAACCTCTTTATTTCTTCCCTCTTCCTCCTAGTTTCATAGTCCCTGCCCTCAGGCAAATGAACTCTTCCTCTTTGACCTTTATGGTTTTTATAGTGGGAGATCTCATGTCAGTCAGTCGCTGCAGATATAAATTGCAAAAATTTTAGCAAATTGGTCATTCATCCTGAAGCTGGGCTGAGCATTTTGTATCTTTGCTTTTTTTCCTTGAACTTAGTCCAGCGACTTCCTCAGTTCTAATAACTATTGTATTATTCTGCATACAATATTCCCAGAGTAAAAAATGATTGCATCCCAGCCTGGTCATCTCTTCACTCCCAACACTATGCCTTTTTTCTCCCTGCTATGATGTATTGTTAACTACCGCCTAATTGCTTCTTTACCAGCCCATCTTCAGTTTTATATTGTGCCTCACTGCTTTCCAGATTTCTCATGGGGGTCAGTGGAGGTTGGGGGCAGTATTAACATTCTGCTGCCAGAGAGGCTGTCCTGCCTGTTACTGGGAAGTCTGGTAGTCATGGTAACAGTGTAACTAAGTGGAGATTTGAAATGTAGATGGTTGGAACCACTGATCCAAGCCAACTCTGCTTTGTATAGATATTGGGCCTGGTTTTCCTCCCTGGACCCCACGATAGGGAGAAGAGGGAACAGAGAATTGTCATTTGGATGCCCCAGGAGGTTGCCCCTGCCTAGGTACTATTCCTGGCTAATCCCTTGTTCAGCATCGAAGCTATGCCAAGAGCCGTGCTGAAAAAAGGGCTTTTCAAGTGCTGAAAATGA